ATGTTTAGGCACCATGGGATGTTTGAAAGAGATATTAAATACATTTTTTATTTAAATATTATTCACTAAAATATATTATTGAAACATATTTTTTTAATATTTAATAGATTCAAAAACATATTTTTTATATTAATATATTTTAAATCCTACTAATATTATAAATGAGAAAGTTTGGATGTATGGATGTATGGATGTATGTTTGTGACAAGTGAACGCGAAAAATACTGGTCGGATTGGGCTGAAATTTGGCATGATGATAGCTCACATTCCCGATTAACATATAGGCATATTCTTATTTCAAAAATCCTTTCGGGCTCCGCCCCAGTGGCTCTGGAGTTTCCCATGTTAACCTTATGAGAAATGGAATTAATGAATCTTAACAGCTGTTTCAATTAAACAAGTTGGTTCTGTTCTATGATGCTCAATAGCATTAAAGTTACAAGGATTACCAACAGGATGCAGCACTATTATTTCTTTTACATTTATGACAACAGCTAATTTGCAACCAAAAGGTGAGTGAGCGTAGCGAACGAACTTCAACCTGGAGGCGAGTTAGCGTAACGAACGAGCTAACCTGAAGGCAAGTGAGCGCAGCGAACGAGCTTCAACCTAAAGGTGAGTGAGCGTAGCGAACAAACTTCAACCAGGACGTGATTGAGCCATGCGAACGAGATAATCTTGAAAATTAAGAAGTAAAACGGGGCAAAGCCCGCGGGTTACAGCTAGTATTATATAAAATTGACATTTATACACACTTGAGATATATAAAATAGATTTTAAATATATTTATTCATATGTATTTAATATATATTTGTGCTACTAGGGTACATGTCTGCTCCTACCCAGACAGCACAAAGATATTTTATAAATATTTTTAAAATATATATCCATCTTAAAAATATTTTATATATTTTAATATTATTTTTTAAATATATTTTTTTAATTTTTGAATAATATTTTAACATAATAAATTTAAAATATTTTAAAACGATTTTTTAATGGTCTTAAAAATATATTTTGTAAATATATTCTATTTTTCGGTTGAATATATTTACAAAATATTTTTAATATATTAAGACAAAATAATTTAGTTTTTTATGTAAAAGATATTTTTAAAATATTTTATTTGCCATAAAAAATAGCTTTTAAAAATATTTTTATAGAATTGTAACTGTAAAATATTTTTTAAAACACTTTTTAACACCCTTTATAAAGAATATTATAGAAATATTTTATAAATAGCTTAAGTTTTTTAAATTTTTAAGTTTTAAAAATATATTTTGGTCATTTGTTTCAACCGAGCTGGGTAAAATATATTTCCCACACATTTCAAAAATATATTTTGACAACAAATTTCTTGTTCCTTGAAGAATTGTTTTAGGGCCATGACTAAAAGACTCTTTTAAATAATTGAAGTAGCCTATACTAAAAATGGCATGTATATTAAAATTGTCTTAAAATCACTCAAAAATAATTCCTTTTTTCCAAACAGTTAAACAAAATGTTTAGACTATCTTATAAAAGTGAACTTTTAACATACCGGATGTCCGCCCAAGTAGCACACATTGTTATTGTTGGCCCAACCCCCAACGTTGGGAAATGGTCCATGGGATCATAAGAATTGGTTGGTCATGTCTCTGTTGGATTGGTTATGGGATCTATAGTAAATTGGATCTATAATAAATGTAGTCAGATGATATGATAGTTGTGATAATAGATACAGTGGGGAACCCCTGCTTAATATAGAACAATTATAATAATGCAATTTTTTAAAATTAATATTCTTTAACTTGTTTTAGTTAATTTTTAATATTTGAACAATTTAAGGGAACATATTAATTAATGTTATTATAATAACATTAATCTAAATGTAGTTAAATAATCTTTATTCAAATACCAGTATCCTCTCCAACTCCCAGAAAAACAATTCATCAACTTGATGCCTAAACAGATTAACAGAATCATATTATATATAACTGCTGGTATCAAAAAAATTTCAAGTATTGCGACCATTGCAACTGTCGGCTACTCTTTGACCACTTGAAAACTCTCAAAACCAACAAACACAGATAGCTCAGAGGTAAGGTAGGAGCACAGACAATGGAATAAACCATTAACATTAGAGTATTATATTGTCTGTGGTAGGAGGCTCACAAGACAAAGGTACCCGGTTCAAACCCCGTCCGTCTAGTTTTTTATTCGAAATTTGTTTTTATGAACTATTTAATCAATTTACTCAACGAATAATTATGCTTTTCATACTAAATTATTATTATTTAAAATATTTAAATATATTTTTTAATGGTTTTTTTATAACATTTATAAAATATTAAAACAAAATATTTTATTAAAATATTTTTAGGATACATTGGGGGTGGAATAGGATGCATTTTTAAAGTATATACTTTAAAGATTAAAATAAAATATTTTTAAAACATCCTGTGCTGTCTGGGTAGTTTGTTTTACCGGATTACTTCTAATGCATTCTTAATGCTCTCCTTCAATTGGAGTGATCATGTCTAAAATATGATGCAAACATGTTTTTCCTGCATGGAGAACAGAATAAATTGTTGCCTCACTATGATAATCTGTGTGAAGTAAATTCAAGGTGGGTAATTTTATTTATTTGATTTGAGACATCCATCTAAACCAAAGGATTTTCTCCATAGGGGAATCTTGAAAAGTGGGATTATATCAAACATTTAATGTGTGCCATTTTTGAGGTACACAACAAACTCTGGGTTACCAACTGGTCAGCCATAATCATAATCTGCTTTGAATATAGCAGCAACAACACCTTTTCAAGTTCAACTGTCACGGCTTTGTGTTGTATGTCAGTTAGAGTATATGCCCAACACATTCTCACATTGTTCAGTAGAGTTTCTCTTAATTCCTGTCCTAAACTTTTGAAAGCTCGAAATTTATTTGTCAAAATGATGGGTTAGGCCTAACGTTTCTATAAGATTTGGATAACAATTTTCACCTTTTCTTATTGAACAGAGTATATTATTTGCCTCTCCTGAATCAGAAAAACAAACTTGACTTTAATTAAAGGGTATTTACTCAGGGGAGGTATAGAAGAGGCTACGATGACAGCTGTTGGCTTCTTATTAGCTGAGGGAACGCAATTACCGTAACAATACGATCTGAAGTCATCGGTCTCGGTGGTCTAGTGGTTAGTGTGCCGGGCTGATGTGCTGAAGGTTCCGGAGTCGAAACCCGCTAGTAGCATTAACTTTTTGTCCAAGAGTTTTTCATTATCAGCAAGTTTGGTTGGTTTGGTTCGGTTATGACAGTTTAATTTTATTATTAAGTCATTATACAATTTTAATTGAGCAATTTCTAGTTTTATTTAATAAAAAAAAAGAATTATTTTTTCTATTACTAAACTTTTGTTATATTATTTCATTATCAGCAAGTTTGGTTAATTCGGTTAGGTTATGATAGTTTAATTTTATAATTAAAAAATAATAAAATTAAATTTGAGGCATTTATAATTTTATTTTATGAACAGAACTATTATTGCGATTAGTAACTTAAACCTTCATTGCCAAAGTGCTCTCTACTACAGCGCTGTTCACGGAGGAATTTTGAACTAATGCCTCGATCGTACCTCCCTTAAGTCAGGCCCTAATTAAAGGAACATTTCGATTGTTTCAATCGCGCATCACTATTTGGAATAACGAATAACGTGGATGAAGAAGTAAAACATAGATAAGTACGAAAAATCAAAAGAGGAAGAAAAGATTAAATAAGGGTTTGTGGATCAAGACAAAGAGAAATGAGAACGTGGCTTCTGGTAAGTGGGTCATGACACGGCCGCCTTTAACTCGAAGTGGCAACTTCGCAAGTGGTGTTGTAAACAGCTGTTTTGTTTGGAAGCAGCTAATAGTATTATTTGTGTTTGTGTGTTTACGAAAGATTGGTTATTGGACTATGACAATATTGACTCCGCTTAAAATGTACAGATCTAGATTTGTAATTCATATTGTTTTGGTTTTCAATTCTGTATCTTTTATTTTCAATATATTTTAATAAATTTATGTTCATAAAGTTAAATTTAAATCAATAGAGTGCGAATTAATAAGCTGATGTCACCTGTCTGCCATGTTATCTTATGGGACGTCTATCTGTCACTAAACAACACCACTTGCGACGTTGCCAATTCTACCAGGCCACGGCCTGTAGTTAAAGGTGGCCGTGGTCATGAGATATGCCCACGAATACTATAAAAATATGCCCTCTCTTTAAATCGCCTCATAAGACAAAAGATTACCCGAATCTGGGGGATTATGAGTTATGGAATTAGGATTCAGGAGTTACTTGATCAACAATGCCTTTAAATAATGGGAAAGTGGAAAAATGTATATTCCCTTGTTTTAGGGTTGATTGTATGATGTGTGCGTTAGCGTTGCCATAGACTATACAGATATATATTATAATGTGTATATATGATCAACAGCTTTACTCTTTGTTTAAAGCACGGTTCGTGGATGTAGATATAGATAACAAAAGATATGGTACAGAACAAAACGCTCTTTACATAAACCAGACGGAACTAACATACAAAATTGTCTTCAGCTGATCCTTAAGAAATCTAACCAATGGTTACGTCGAAGACTAACCAACACTAGGGTAGTATATTTAATCTATGGCTATACCCTAAATCCACAATTTTTGTCAATGGGCTACCTGTCAAAAGATCGATATTTTAAGGCCAGCAGGGTTTCAACCATCCCTTAAAAAAAAATTAATCTGTTTGAAGCTGGCCAGCCACTTCCTTTTCCAAAGGAAATTTGCGCAGGAAATAATCTCTGGTACACCATATATAAAACATACACTCTCTCATATATTGTAATATATCCATTAGATGCTAGTGGGTAGGGATAGGGAATGAAAACGAGAAAGGTGGAAAAGGGAAAGAAGAATATTCGGTTAGTTAGGTGCAGGTTCAGCGGTTCAGCTGTTCAGAATCCAATCCAAGTAAACAAAATGGCGGTTTCAGTTCAGACCGTGCAGTTAGCCGTAAAGTGATAAGACAAGGAATATTTGGAAAAGGGTCGTTTTAAATTTAAGGCTCAGGCCTAGGCCAAGTTTAAATTTTTGAATTCGTTGAATTTAATATAACTTTAAAAATTTAACTTTAAAATTGTTCAGTTACTAATTATATAAATCGCCTTGGCTACATTTATCGAGCAAAATGGCCAAACCTCAAGTGTACAGCATGAAATGGAATAATTACAAAGATCATTTAAGTGGCATATTATTACAATTATTGGAGACTGAATCTATGGTTGATTTGACGCTTTGTGCCGAGGGCGAGAGGATAAGCTGTCATCGAATCATATTATCAGCATGTAGTCCATATTTTCAGGTAAGTTAAATAAAGGTCAAATCCATACTCTACACATAGCCAAGTTGGGCTATGTGTAACTTAGCTATGTGTCCTGTTAGTTGCCAAAAAGAACCTGGCAACTAACAGTAAAAAAATATAAGTAAAAAATAGTTGTAACTTAAGTTAAGTTAAACTTAATCAGCTTGGCGTATGTTTAACTTACAAGACAACAACTAATTAGGCCTATTCCTTAATGAATTTTATTTGGCAAGAGTTTAGGGGCTACAGTAGGCGAGTGAAAATTTAAAAACGTACATTTTCATGTCCCTGGCCTTTTACTTTGTAGATACTGGATTTGTAGTTTATTATTATGTGTTTTAATATTTTTTGAGACGGGGGCAACATGTTACACTCATTTATTTGGTTTTAAATAGGTTCTAGGTATTTTTTTCGTATTTTTAAAGTCTCGAAATTCACGACCATGACGTGTCCTTAGGGTACATTTTCCAACTTTCACGCTGTTTTAAGACTAATTATTTATGCCGAAATATATAAAGCCATATTTTTATGTCATCAATGGTTATTAAACTTACAAAAAAAGGAGCATATTATAATTTTATTGTCATTGTAAACTGACTACCATGACAAAATAAGTCTGTCCCTCGATTTGGCGTCACGACCATTTGGGAAAAATTTTCACCTTTGGAGCACGACAGTGGCAAGCCTGGCGTCGATCTGCCCTGCTAAGAAAGAAGGCAGTATGTGCAAAAGTGAATATTTTCAGAAAATGGCCTCAACTTTGCCGCCATTGCCCTGACACATCTGAAGACTAAAATAATATTTTTAGTTGTCTTAGGTAATTTGTAGGCCTAAATAATCAATTGGCACTATAAAAAATACATTTTTTCCACTGGATCAATATAAAAATGCACATACTGCTTTTGTCCTGAGAAATATTTCTGTTCATGCTAAGCCAAAAGGCAGCATCTGCTCATACTGCCATTTTGCTTAGCTAGTAAGTGTTAATAGGACCCTAAGCTAAAAAGCAGTAACTTATCTAACTACTGCTAGCCATTTCCTTATTTACAAACATATTATTAACAACAGTCAAAACACAAACACAACAACATAATCTCAGCTGGTAGAAACTGCTTTTAGTTCCTCTTGTACCCATAATGCTAAGCAAAAAGGCAGTACCTGATGTACATCACTAAGCATAAAGGCAGTATCTACATTGCAGATATTGCCTTTCTTGCTTAGCTTTTATAGATACTGCCTTTTAGCTTAGTTTTTGTTGAAAAATGATGTACATACTGCCATATACACCTACCATATCTCAGAAACGGTTGTAGATACGGCCTTTTAAGTGTGTTTTTCAGAATCCCTGACCTCAAAAACCTTAAATTTCATCAAAATCGAAAAATCGAAAATTTTGCACTTACTGCCTTCTTTATTAGCCCTGGGGCAGCGATGGAGTCAGTTGGTTTTAGAGACTAGTTCGGGGTGTACGTCAGGATTGTAGTGCCGGTCGTTTCGAGTTGAAAGGAGGAATTACAAGATTAATAAAGGAAAGATTGTGTTTTTTGTAATTTTGGTGTGTCCATGACCGTACGTAGACATGGTGTTAATTTTTGTTTATAAGATATTTCAATTGCTAGATTTACCTAGAAGTCCACTTTGTATCCTCGAACATGAGGTGCAGGGCTACCGCCAGAACAGAGCCAAATAACACGTAATTTCACGACCATCGCGGGTTTTTTCACGACCAATCCAGCCTTATGGATTATAGTGTGTTTGGTCGTGACAATAACTTTAATATAATTGTAAATTGATCAGTTTAGTTCAATTGAAACACATATTTTTATTATAACTAACAGTAGCCTATAATTGAAGGATTGTTTAGAAAGATTTAGATTATTTCAGACAATTCACGACCGCACCGCTTGTCCCTGACCATCACGTTTATGATTTCTATCATACAAATTTCAAAAATTAAAATATCGTCATATTTCAATGTTTTATACACAAAAGAAGCACACCTCTATACAAACATAACGATTTTTCGGGTCTCAGGTAAGTTTTTTCGGAGTTATACAAACTTAAAAAGATTTTATTGGCTTTTTTTCAATTTTTTGAGTTTTTTATTTTTTTCTAGAAAGACCAAATATACCAAGAGCTCAGTGACCTTTTTATTGTATAATGGTCATAAAAGTAAATTAGTTTATAGCAAAACACAGTTATAAAAATAATATTAACTATTTTTAATATTCATTTAAACGTCTGTTATGGTCTTGACAGGATTTTGTGTTTTTTCACTAAAGATGCTCTTTAAAAAAAAAAACTACCAAAGATATTGCGTTACCATGGACATTTTATGAAACTTAAAGTGTTAATAAAATAAAAAAAATAATAAAAGTTTTGAAAAAAAGGGAAAAAAATTTGCAAAGTGCTTTTCCTGAAAACGTACGTTTTTAAATTTTCACTCAGGCCCTAGCCTAAACTCAAAGCAAGTGATACCGTGGAAACTACTATAGTGAACCTGGCGCCTGTAATCGTGCACAATTTAGACATAGAGGAGAAGAAGGATTTGTATTAGTGATGTGACGAGTTGAGTCCGACTCGTATATGTGTCCGTGAATGTGATAACTTGAGTAATTTTTGTCCGATTTTGATGAAATTTGGTTTAAAGGTGTAAAGCAGGATAAACTTGAATGAGTTTTGCGAAACAGCATGATCGAACTATGGGAACGGGGGTTTATGGGGGGTTTTATGGGGTAAAAAAAGGTTTTTCCCATTTTTGATCCTAAAAACAAAATTTCACAATTACTTTCCAAACCATTATGTAGAGCTTAAAGAAACAAATAATTTAGTATATTGAAGCGTTATTATGTGCCTAAGGGTTATGGAGAAAATTCAAAAAAATTGTAATTTTAAAATTCCCATGTTATTCTTATGGAGAATAAGTCAACTGTTGTAGTTTGCTTATTTAGGCCGGCCACACACAGAACCAGGCAAGGCGGGGCGCGACAGGGCATTTTGCCCCGGGGCGTCTTGTGCGACGGGAATTGCACGGGCGCTTATGGAGCTCCACACACAGGACCGGGCGAGGCAGGGCACGTCGAAAAGACGCCCCCGGGCGCCCTCAGGGCAAAATGCGAAGGTCTCCAAAATTATGCCCCGAGGCAAGTCGCTGCCGGGCAGAACTTTCTGCGCATGCGCGGTCATGTGATTTATTCCCTTAAAGGCTAATTTTGATAAGGATTATTTTACAACTGATACAATTTACATACAAGACTGTAATAATTTATAATATTAATCTAACAAAAAACCACTAAGTGGTAATACTTTCCCCGCCAAGTCAGCAATCCAAAAAAGATAATAAATCATTGTTTTTTTCCGCCAAGAAAAACAATGTAATGTATGGCTTGTTAAATACTTCAAAACATCAATGGCATCTTTGCAATGGCAAAAGTTTACTGTTAATTTATTTTCTGTAGTAAAATTACATCATTTTGTTGGTTTCTACTTTTATTTTTTATTTTTAAAATCACCAAGTTTGGCACCTTGGCGGCAGACTTTTGCTTGGTTTTTTCATTAAAGTTACGTTTGAGGATAATTTCATAAATCAACTTCTCTAATTAATTAGTCCAACTAACTAAGTATAATAATTTCGAGGTAATCAGTAAATATAAAACCATCATTATTATGATTTTATGAAATGTGGCTCAAATAAGGTCTTTTTTAAAAAATAAGCTATCACCTAGCAATGTACTAATGGGAGAGATACTTGCTCAATGAAACTAATTTTATGGTATTTTTTAAAGTGATCGAGCAAAAGTCTGCCGCCAAGTTGCCAAACTTGGTGATTTTAAAAATAAAAAATAAAAGTAGAAACCAACAAAATGATGTAATTTTACTACAGAAAATAAATTAACAGTAAACTTTTGCCATTGCAAAGATGCCATTGATGTTTTGAAGTATTTAACAAGCCATACATTACATTGTTTTTCTTGGCGGAAAAAAACGATGATTTATTATCTTTTTTGGATTGCTGACTTGGCGGGGAAAGTATTACCACTTAGTGGTTTTTTGTTAGATTTTATTTATTTTTGTAGAAAATTAACAGTTAAAATAAAAATTCTATTTTCTTTGAAAAAAAAAATTAAAATAAATTTTATTAGTAACAAAGTAATAACTGCTGCCTCTACTGTTCTGTTAATAACAGCATGTACAGATTCTTTGAACCAATGGGCCATCTTTGGTTTGATATTTGTTCATCATTGGCTGTTGTCCAACCTGAAGCTGTCTTCATGGTACAAGTGTAATGGCCTCGTGATATTGTATCTCCGTGATGAAAGATTGCTGCTGTAGGTCTGTATGTTTTAGTACCTATAGTCACTTGAGCACTTGGGACTCCTGCTATGTTTGTTGTGGTAATCTTTTGTAAGTTGTTGTTGAATATTAAAAACTGTAAGAGAACACAGCGGTTTGACTTCGTGACGTGTACTTTGCCCAGGCTCGATCCTCGTTGGCCGCATTCAGCATTACTGCACACATAATCCAACAAGGGCTCCCAGTGGTCGTTCATCGTAAGGCTTAACAGATTTCGTAGTGTTACTTTACCAGCCACCACGGGGATTCTGATTATATTGCCTGTCTCCTCTTGCCCTGTGAATGTGTAATGACAGTGCTGGCATTTTGTGGTTTTCACCGTGCTGTATGAGATGGCTTCTATAATGCCCTTGTTGGTCTCCAATAAGTCCAGCAAGAACAAAGCACAGTCTTGCTGCTCTGTCAGGGTATATGTATTGTTGTTAGGGAGGTTTCTTAAAATCACTGTATCTAAAACAACCTCCGAGGGAGACACTTCGTAATCATGAAGATGTTGTTTTAACTGAGGACAAATTAGTTCCGAGTTCTTTATTATCTCTCTGATGTACGGAACAGAATACAGCATCTGAACTGCAACATTCGCATAACATGACACACGATCATTGTTCTTAAACCCTCTTAATGCTAAAGTTGACTGAACTCTCGAT